ATGCATGAGCACATGTGCGCCTTGTGACTTTTTATGGCCTTCATGACTTGCTTTTCTTGTTTCTTCTAGATGGTATTTCCTTCAATATTTATACTTTTTACTTATTTTGCACCTACTCACTTTGATTACTTAATAGTCAGACTTGTAATCATAGTGAAAACATTGCCATTTATAAAAGTATTTGCTCTCATGAGTGATCAATCAGGTTTTTCCAATGGAATACTGTTTTCTTGCTCTTTTTAGTATTGTATTTTCCACACTGTAGCTGCTGAGTACATGCTGACTCACTGAGCATCTCTGGGATGCTGCATGTGTGTTTTGAATTTAAGAAGAGAAGAATATAGTTAGGGAACATATTATTGTCGTTCCATGTTTTCTATAGAACTTAGAATAGAGGTTTGTACTCAAGGAGGGTTTTGCAAATATATATTAACAAGGGGCCTGGTCCAGCTTGTTCTGTAATATTAGAAATCTAAAAATGTTTATTACTATAGTTGTTGGAAGGTCCCTAGAAACGGTTGAGAGTAATTCTTTTATCATGCAGTGGCCTGTGGTGGGCAAAACCTCTCTCACACACAGCTTAACCTTTCTCGTGTCTAATACTACTCATGAAGAAGATTGTAATTTGTGCATTGTGCTTTTATCAGGTTGCTGTTCCCAATGCAGTTAGTGTAATTTTTCATTTCCTAACAGTCCTCGGGCAATTCTGTTTAACATGCTTTCTATTTCAGAACATTCTCCTATTTAAAAAATTTCTTTTGCCTCAGGCCCAACATGCTTTTCCAGCCAGGCCAGTAGTAATTTCTATCCTTGCTGGCTTCATTCACCTTCACTGTTAAAATTCTATGTGGATTCCCTAGGAATGTTTTCCTTTTGTGTTTATGGCATAGCAAATGTTGGGATGCCTTTGCCTTCTATTTGTTGATATTACTCTGGTTCACAAAAATATTGTTCCATTTTTATTACTAGGTGAATACAGGACTATATTTTTATTTCAAATCTTAATTTTTTTATGTCATAAGCCATACTTTGTTTTCTTAATAAATAGAATTTAATTTTCCACCTGAGCTTTTAAAGTTGTCCACAGAATTTTCCTGAACAACAGTATTCACATTAGAATAAGAGACTGATTTACTCATTTCTTTTTTTTTTTAAAAAAAGCATTCAAGTTTATTTAATAGGTAGCAAATTTCCTTTTTAAGGTGGTATCTTAAAAATGAATGAAACAAGTTACCTGGATTGCCATCTCAGATGATCGTGAATTAGGTGTGATTTTGCTTTGAGATGAGACAGCACTCTAAGTTGATGCTCTTGAAGCTGGCTCTGAATTTGGTAATAATGACGTACTCTAGCGGGATTTAGGTTTCTAACTGGGAAAGCCTATAGTTAGGGTGCAGTGGGCTTTGAGGTTAAGATGCAATGGGTCTGGAACAAAGAAAGCCTTTGTTCTCTTACCATAAGGCAGTCTGACCTACATTGAGGTAAATTTTGAAACATCTATTATAATATCAAGCTTTTTAAGAGATTCTAGGGAATATGTGTGGAGAGAGCTAGGGCTAAACTAAAATTAGAACTCTGGCTATATTATAAACATGTATCATACATTTGTATATATCATACATGTTATATGTATATGTGTGTTTTACCACAGATATAACGTGTATGATATGTAAGTGACTTTTATATCATGCCTTGTCTTAATTGGAATGAATGTTTTCTCATTCATTGTACTGATTTCTGTTTACAAACATGGAAGGAAATAGAGATTTTCCTCTCTTTGGGGATACTCATCATCATGTTAAGGAGAAAGAAAGAATACTTCTTTTTTGGGTTATAGTTTGCCTTTTAAATTTCATTGCTGCTCCTCTCAACTTCCATCTGTGTTGACATTTGGGAATTTTGTGGTTACTCTTTCTCAAGTGGAGTGGAAATGCTTAAAACAGGATTTACACTTTTACATATATAACCGAGGCTCTGTCACATTTTGACTCTCTCCAGGTTTAAATACTGTTTCTTTGACTTAAAAAAAAAGAAACATTTTGTTAAACTAAATACTTACTAAGCTTGTAATGCTACTGATTATTGTATATTATTAACATCCATTTTTGCATTGATGGAAAGTTCTGACTGAAAATGCAATGATAAATATTCAAATTTTAGGCACTTAATATCTTATAGCATCAAAGAGATGTTTTTATACAGATGTTATTTGCTATTTTTAAATTACATTGTGGTTTTATTTTCATTTTTAATTAAGGTTCGTTTATAACCTTTATAACCTTAACCTTTATAACACAAATTTGAATAAGCCATAGATAGCCAAATTTGGTGCTGTATGACTTAATGTTGGCTCTGTGCTCTGTTTTCTTAACCTTTTAAGTCCCAGTGAGTTGGCACTTTCTGTGTGTTTGTGTGTGTCTGTGAGAGAAAGAGAGACAGACAGAAAGATTGATTTTTGGGCTGAATAATTAGTAGCCTGGACCTCAGTTCAGTTACTGACACGTTTGCTGGTTGATTCCCTAAGACTCTTTAGCTTATAGTGTTTGTGATAAATTCTTTTAGATAAATTAGATTTTAGATTTTAAACAAATTGTGTGTGTGTGTGTTCTGATATTCTTTGGCAATACAGTAGAAGCTTATTGTAATTTCCTAATGCAGCCAGGGATACTGGTGATGCAGAAGCACTATTCTTAGCTATTTGTACAGATGGAGAGAAAGCAAAATCTCATAATGGCTTTAGCTATCTCATACTTGCCATTTTCAATTCTGCACCTCATGGAGTGGCCTTTGGCTAGTTACTGCAACAATTTCCCTCAATTACAGTTCTCTTCTGCTCTTTATATTTACAACAAAAAGAGTAATTAGAAGTTAGGTGGTCTCCAACATATGACCATGTAGTTTCGTGATTATTTGTTTTTGGTTTTTTGTTTGTTCTGTTTTGGCTTTTCATAAGGGTCAGCATTATATATGTAGATACATACTAGTTAAAAAAAAAAAAGAAATCTTCCCATGCACAGCTGCAACTCATATTTTAAAATTCAGGTATGAGACAAAAATGGAAAAGTATAGATTAAATAAAAACACTGTAATATGTATTGGTAAATTTTTATTTTTAATTGTTTATTATGGGCTTATAGAAAGGGTTTGTAGAAAAAGCCATGCCTAATTTATATGTTTGGATATATGTTTATGGTTAAAAATAGTAAGAAAATAAGCAGAAATATTTTCTAAAGGAACAGAATATATGTCAGTTTGCAAAGGATAGTACACCAAGGTGAAATTGGTTTAACCAGTTTTGGAAGCCTGTGAAAAAACTCAAGTCAATGGCAAAAACTCTCAATAAAATCAAGTCAACTCGAGAATCAGTGTGACTACATTATTGTGTTGCCTAAGTTGATGGACAGGGTAAACTATTTTATTTTTCTATTAAGAAAAGATAGATTCTTAGATTTGAAATCTCCTGAGACAGGCATCAACTCACTCAATATTTTACAGGTAATATATTTTGTTCTAGACGGTATACCTCCATGTTTTGTTCATGAGTAATTTACTGGCTAGTTGGAGGTAATAAGAAGAATCCAGTGATAAATGTTAGTATATAATATTTTGATAACTAAGATGCTTTATATCCAAAATAAATTCCTGAGTCTGGAAGTTATACACCCAGAAGTTTTGATGAGCTTCCCACAAAAATACTTTTCTTAAAATATACAAAATTGCTGACGGGTAGGCTGACAGTGTATGTTGCTGTAGTTAAAAGCGGAGGCTTATATTGGTTGACCTGGATTCGAATCCTAGCTCCCTAACTTATTAGCTATGTGCTACGGTCTGAATGTTTGTATCTTCCTCAAGTTCATACGTTGAAATCTTAACCCCTAAGATGATAGTATTAAGAGATGAGGCCTGTGAGAGGTGATTAGGTCATGAGGGCTCTTCTCTCATGAATGGTTAGTACCTTTATAAAAGAAAACTAAGGGAGCTCATATGTCCCTTCTGTCATATGAAGAAGCAGCAACAAGGCACCAGCTATGAAACAGCCCTCAGCAGACACCAGATCTGCTGATGCTCTGATCTTGGACTCCCCAGCTTTCAGAACTATGAGCAATAAATTTATCTTGCTTGTAAATTACCCAGTCTAAAGCATTTTGTTATAGCAGCTCAAATGGAGTAAGACACTATGTGACATGGATAAATTATTTTACTTTGTTAACCCTTAATTTTGTAATCTATAACATGAGCATAACAATACTAGCTTTATCAAGATTTTGTGAGGATTAAATGGAATAGTCCATGTAGCGACTGACTGGCAAGAAGTATTTGCTTTGTAAATATTATTAATGGTGATAAGAAGATATGGACAATAAAGTGATTCACAGAATTACATTCCAGGGTATGCAGTTTTTATGATGCTTTAAGCCGATGACAAGAACAAAACCCATAACCATACCCAATTGCTAAAAATTAGAATTTTTTGCTAGATTTCTCTGTCCAAGTGATTACATTTGTTATCTTAGCTTTATATCAGTGCTTTACAACCTATGATAAAGGGTTAGTCTTTCTCTTTTTCTATTTTTTTAATATACCGGAGACATACTTCTATGAAATTCAAGAAAAAAGTTACTAGAAAAATTAAACTAAAAAAAAGAAGACATATAAAATAAAAATACTAGTTCTTAAATTAGAGTCAACATATATAAAAATACTCTTCACAACTGCTATAGAAGTTTCTAAATTCTTACTCTTGACTTCAGTACTTATTTCATCATAGACCAGTGATGGCTCAGCACTGGTCCATGGGTCACACATCTGAGCAGCATTGCTTTAAATATCATATATATGTTCATTTACTTCAAAATTCATATCTCTTTAGATTTACACTTGGAGATGACCATCTCTCTCTTCTTTTTTTTTTTTTTCATCTCTCTCTTCTTATTAAATGATGCTATTATCTACTCAGTAGAAATCTATCATTATCATCTCTCATTCTCCTCCCCACTCACCTAGCCAATCCATCATATATGTCTTTTTCATTCTTGCCATTGTTTTATATCTTTACTGCTAACACCTTAGTCCAAAGCCATTATCATATCTGATCTAACTTAGTACTGGGCTTCCTGCTTCTAGTACCCCACCTGCTTCCTTCCATTCTCCATATAGCTATATGAATTATTTTTCTCACAAGTAAGTATATTTATGACCTTTTAGTAGCTTTATTTTTTAATTAGTTTCCTTGGCTGAATGGTATGTAACAATGTATGGTATGTACATTTTTGAAGGGTTAAGAGGCAATTGCAGTACTCTAGGTAGGTTATTATGGTAGCTTAGATTGGGGCGGTGGTTGTGTAAATGGAAAACAATGCTGATTTAAGAGATTGCCAGATAGGGAATAAACCAGAGGCTGGGGCCCATTTAGGAAATTCTAGAGGCAAAGGGATACCATTCTTTTCATGATCTAACTGTGTGTTCTCTCTTCAGGTTCATTACTGAGTCAGGTCTCAGCCTTTCACAGGGATGATTGGCCTATCAGGTAGCCGGTTAATTTGTGTCAGCAGCAACCTGAGTGTAATATGTGGAGTTGGATTCTAAGAAAAGTAGGCTAAGGAGGATGCAGCATACTGATATGACTATACTTAATTCAGATTGAGCCAAATTTATCCATAGTAATATTCTTAACAGGAATCTAGATTTAATGTATAAACTTGAGTATCTGGAAATGGCTCCAACAGTTTGCTTGGTTATTTGACTAAAACTTGGGTTTAACAATGGTCAGCGTTTAATGTGTTTTTGAGCCCTGAACATCTCTAGCTGTGAGAAAGGAGGAAGGCACAGGCAAGTGAGAGTGGTCAAACAGGTTTATTACATGCAGTTCTCTTTTATCCCTCTTCACTCTAAACATTGTGAGATTCCAGAGGACACACAGTTGATTAAGAATCAAGAAATGTATTGGGGAGGGGAGCAGACCTCTGTGGTAGCTCTAGGCTAGGAAATGTCATGGGGATATGCTGCCCCTAGATGCATTGAGTTCAGTGGGCACGATGGGATTCTGGAGTGACAAAGGGCTTTTTTGACAGTGCTTAGACTTCCTGGATAAGGTAGCTGTAATTTTCATAATAGGCTTCAAGTGTGGAGTGGCAGTGAGTGTTTTGAAATGCATTCTTCAGTAGTGGTGGACTAATTGATCGTAATGACCTTAGGAATACAATAAATTGCCAATTTGCTAAATTTTTACTTGATCTCTATAACTGGGGTATGTTGAGCAGGGACTTGACTTGTGTTACTGATATAGGAACACCTTGGAGTCCCTTGATTAAAGGGGAAACTGATTTCTCTTGAGAAAGGACAAGAAATACTACCGCAAATATGTACCTTAAATCTTCCAAGCCTGTCCTGATGGGACATGCTGCTTACTGGGAGGAAGCCCGGACTTTTTATAATTATTAAAAATGGGTTCTCGATTAATCCCTGGGGGAACCTAAATGCCATTGTGACATATCAGTCAGAGTTGAGGCTTATGGAAGTCACGTGGTAAATTGACTTTTGGATGAATCTGCATCACTGTGGGTCAAATTGCCTGGCAGACTAATCCTGTGATTACTTTCCCACTTCCTGAATGCATGGTTGCAGCAGGCATGGGAACTAGCAGAATTTTCACACTGCCTCCTTTGGAGTGAGGACTATTTAGGAAAACCAAGCAGAAGCTTCTGAAACTGCCCTTCCCTAACAAAAGATAAACCCTAAGCAGTACTACATCCTTGGGAACATTTCAGAGATTAGGGCCACCTTCAAACATTCATTGGGTGTTGGGCAGGTGGGAGGGGGGCAGGGATGGGTAAATTCACATCTAATGGGTACAGTGCACATTGTCTGGGGTATGGGCAGGGTTGTAGTTTTGACTCGGGTGGTGCAAAGGCAATATATGTGACCACAGGATTTGTACCCCCGTAATTTCTGAAATTAAAAAAAGATGCAGTAGTGGAGATTCCTGTAACATCACTTTTTGATCAGATGATTGGATGGATGGATCTTGGAAAACAACTATGGACTATAGTAAACCTAGTTGGAGAGTGACTCTAATTGCTTTACTTTCCAAAATGTAGTATACGTTAGTCACCCCTTATCTGAGGGGGATACATTCCAAGGCTCCTCAGTGGATGCCTGAAACTGTGGATATACTAAACCCTGGATATACTATGTTTATTAAAACTGATAACTGAGATGGCTGCTAAAGGACTGATAGGCAGATAGCTTAGACAGCATAGATACACTGGACAAAGGGATGGTTCATGTCATAGGTGGGACAAAGCTGGGACAGCATGAGATTTCATCACCCTACTCAGAATGGTGCTCAATTTAAAATTTGTGAATTGTTTATTTCTGGAATTTTTCATTTAATATTTTTGTACTGTGATTGACTGTGGGTAACTGAGACCACAGCAAGGGGAGACGACTGTAGTCTTTTGAACCTGTGTGCAGCAATTGATTTGGCACCTCTTTTTTTTTCTACACCCATTATTAGATTATGGGCAGATTGTCTTCAACTAGCAGGGAGAGTGGAACACCTTCACAGTTTTAGTGCAGGGTGATGACAGTGTTCTTGATCTCTGTCATAATATGGTTCATAGGGACCCTAGTCATCTGGTTATCTAGAGAATACCATCCTGGACCAGTACACCGAAGCCATCATGCTTTTCAACTTGATGAGCAGGAAGTAGCAGGTTGCCTAGATGGCTTCGTAGGACTCAACATGTGTTAGATGGTGATTGATAAAGTGTGTTTTAAAGCTGGTAATCCTACAAAACTTAGTTTAATACAGTGTTCAAATATTGGTTCAACACTTCTGAGTCTATGGGATTTTTATCTCCAAATGACTTTATTTAAATAAAGAAAAACTAAGAACTCTACATTAATTTGAAAAGAGGGCACTTGCTTTGAACAACTTACATGGTATCAAACCTCTGAAATACAAATTTCTCTATGGCTTTTTGAATTGAGCTTTACCTTTGAATTGTGATTGTTTTTCATTGAATTTTGTCAACTGGAAAATAAATTTATGAAATTTAGTATATTTTACATACATATACTCATGTAAAAATAAACATGGAATTTAAAAATATTACTATATAGTGTAATGATTTGTGTATAAAACTAAAAATAAAAGTTATTCTGAAAAACTTTAGAAATATCAAGCAGAGTTTCTGTCTTCTGATTGATTATACCTACTTCTCTTGAACAAGTAAAATCTTGTTTATATTTAGTAAAATAATATATGATTACAGAAAGTAAGTACCTTTAGAGATAAGAGAGGCACATTTGTCCAACTCTCACCTTTTGTTCAGGTAAAGAAACAGAATTCATCTTAGCAATTTATTGAGTATCTACTATGTGCCAGGCATTGCTACAGACACTTGGAATGTAAGAGTAAAAGAAAAGAAAGAAAGAAAAAAAAACAGACTAAAGTTTATACATTCAAGGAGCTTACTTTCTAGCAGCAGGAGACAGGTGATACACAATAAACCTAACAAATATCGGATGGTAAATGCTATGACAAAAAGAAAACATAGAGGAGTGTAAGAAAAATAGGAATTGGAGGTGGAGGGGTAGTTTTAAATAGGCATGTTCCAGGTTAGACTTGAAGGAGAATTAGTCATGCAGGTATGTGGTGGAAGTGTTCCAGACCTAGGAATTGGCCAGTGCACAAGCCCTGCTGCAAGGGTTTGCCTGGAATATTCAGGAAACAGCAAGTAGGATAGTTTGTCTGGGACAGAATAAGCCAGGGACAGAGCAGTAAGAAAGGACATATGAAAGATAAGGCAGTAAGGCACACATCGTACAGATACTTGTGAATTACTGTAGAGACCTTGGCTGGCTTTTACTGTGAGTGACATGGGGAGCCAACTGAAGAGTTTTAAGGAGAGAAATGACAAGATTTTATGATTTAAAATGATTACTCCGGAGGACTATATTTAAAATAGATTGCAGGAGCTAAGGATGTAAACAGGAAGGCTAGTTATAGCTATTACATAATCCCGATGAGAGATGATGGTGGCTTGGATCAGCATCTTAGCAGTAGTGGTTGTAAAAAGTGATTGGATTCTGGGTATGTTATGAAAGTTGCATCAAAAGGACCTCCTGCTGGATTGGATATAGGAGAAAGAGAGCAATCAAGGATGAATCCAAGATTTTTGGAATGAACAATAGGAAAAAGTTTAAGTGACCTGGCTCAGGTTGTTATTTAGTTAGTTACAGAACTGTACTAGAACTTGGATTTCAATATTTATAGCTTACAGATTTAAATGCTTAAATCTCATAGATGATAGGAGCAATTACCACACTTACTTGGAATATATATATTTTTTGTATGTAGTTGAATCTGGGATTTTTGTTATTTTAGAAGGAAATGGACTGGCTGTGTATGTGTGCCTAATATAAAATATGTTGCATTGTAGTCTAATGTCCTAGATGTGAGTGACAATCATCTTAATAGGAGGTAGGCTTTCTGTTTCATTTTACTTATTGACCTGGCTTAATGCAATTCTCAAAGTGTTATGCATATTTATTGCTTTAACAACTATTTTAATGCTTAGTATATGTCAGGCATTGTGTTTTGTGCTGGGCTTCGGAAATAAATAAAGTAGACAGTTGTCTTCATGGTGCTATATATTGTCTAAAGTTATTGTTTTTGTTTTTCCCATTATAGTAGTTCATATAGAATAATTAGAAATAAAAATTAGTGTTTATTTGGGAATAAAAGATAAGTTTTTAGACTTATCTAATGGTGATGGGCATGTTTATAAGAACTGGAGAGATAATTTATTGAAATGAACTAACTGACTTAACTGACTTCCCCCATCTCCCCTTTCCTTTTTGACATGAATTTTATTACACAAATGAAGAATGATGTTGCAGAGTTACCGTGGTGAAGTTGGCAGATACCACTAAAATGATTATGATTTAGAAGTAACTTTCTCTTGCTGCTCTAATCTGATAAATGGTTATATATAATGTTTTCTGACATGGTATTTGGTTTTGGGTATCTGTTA